ATTAGCAGTCTCTTTGGCGATTTCCTTCGACGGAAAATGTAATTATTCCGGTTCGAAAAGAAATCACCTACTTCCCAAAAATGTGCTTTGGAAGCACGTCACTCTACATGAGGTGAAGCAAGGATGAGTACCAATCACATCACTTATCACCATTGTTTCCTTAAAAAGCAAAAAAAAAAGCCTCAGATGAGTAAAATTTGCCATCAGCAGCTACTCACTAGTCACATGTGATCGATATGGCCCCATGTACTCCTAATCACGCTTAACACTGCAATGCAAACGACAACAAGAACACAACTATTTTTTACTTTGGTTACTTAACAATCCCCTCCGTCTCGTGAGCCACTCTTCCAGCTCACAAGGTGATCTAGTCACCGCCACATTCGTTCTCCACTCCCTCCGTCCTCTCCCCGCTACTGCTGCCGGCGGCGGTGGCAAGATCTCCCGCATCCTCCTCCTCCTCTGATCCTGCCCTGTCCTCTTTGTTATACTTTAACATCCCCGCACACATAACATCCGTGACGCTTCATCTGTTTGACTGTGTGGGGATGTCAGACGCTTACAAACTTCGGCTTGCTCTTCAGTCTCGCTGTCTGCGTCACTACCATTCTGATCGCGGGAATGTTAGAGTATATTTGGTATATGTTTATTTGATAGTATAAGATTCATATACCTTCTCCTTCCTTGCCTCTACGGGGGCTTCATATCCTCCAAGACATGCCCATAGGGATCAGCAATACAGCAAGCGATTCCACCAATTCTCCCCTCTAATCCTCTTACACTCTCCCGTTGCCTCCAACTACAAGTTGCCCGCGTCCGACCCCTGGTGCTCCGTGTCCCACGCTCATAGGGCCATTCGAGAATCCAAATCCGGCTGTGAGTGCCCATCTAGTGGGCGAGTCCTGAATGTGGTGTGCCTTCTAGCCGTCATTCGCCCAAAACATGGGATGCTCGCCATAGATCCATCTTGGATCTGGCATAGCGCCTAGTTCTCACGCGTGGGGTACTAGTAGTTGGCAGGAGAGAGACGGGGGCGAGAGGCTGCAGCGGAGCTCTCTTGCAGTTGTCAGGGAGGCTAGTCTCACGTGAGGTGGCCCATCGTTCTTGAAGGGATGGGTGAGGTTGGTTCTCTTCGGACGTCGGGGTGGTTCATTTTTCTTTGCTTGTCTATATGGTTTTGATTTTTGATGGATGAGCCCTTGGTAATGATTTTATCTCTATTCTATGTCGCGGGCACCTATCCAATCTATAAAAAAAATACTAATGAGAAAATAAAACTACTAAACTAAAGATAACATAGGATAGAGACCCTAAAATCTAAAAAATGCATATTTAGGGCTATGCGGATTCGAACGTAGCCCTTCTTCATAAAACAGATCACCTCGGTAGGTGGGTGTGCATCTGCTCATGTCTGCTGGTGGTTCAATGCCCTCGAGCATGGGCAAGAGGGTATAGGGTTTCCCTCTTCAGTTACAATGGCACGCTGGTGGTAAAGAGTGCCCGGTGCCTCATCTACTCCTTGTTTGCTTCGTCGATGATGTGGTCACCTTTGTGTCAGTCTTCTCGTATGATGATCTTTTCATCTTTGTCTCGTTGCGTGGGCAGTTCCTTGGTCGGTGTTGGGATCGTGGAGTACTGCTCTGCGAACCCGGTACCCGTTCTGGTCTTCTTCCTTGGTAGCCAGGTCTATGTTGTTCTTTCGTGCTCTAGAGTGAGCTATCTGCTAGTTGACAATACGACACCCTACGAGCTAGGGAGAGAGGGCAGAGCCGTAGAGGCCCTCTTCACTGGTACCACTATCAGATGGCATGGTATACTTGTCTTATCCTTCTAGAAGCGGGCAAATAAGTGTTCTTCATAGGCGGTGTCCCTCTTGTGATCCTCACCTTCCTACTGTGTTGGATGTTGTTGAAGACGTTGGAAGCAGTGCTTCAGGTTGTGTTTCTTTTCTTCTCATGTTTGTCTGGTCGACCGGTTGGCGGATAGGCATGTGTACGCACTATGTATTTTTTGCGGCCTTGTTTTTTCTTCTTTGTTTGTTGTATGTCGTTTTGTAATCCTGGCCGGTTGACGGCTTTGTTAATTCCAAGTCAGAATCTTCTTAATTAAGCCTTCTTTCTAAAAAACATTGCAAACAAACTCACAAACTTTTTGCAATTCAAACTTGTAAACTGTAGATGGACATGACAAGCATGCCTTATAGTTAAACGCAGTGAAAAATCAACTCCCTGTCATGACATTAAAATTTGTTTGCCATTATAAACATGAAAGAAAACATGAAATTTATTGGCGATCACTTTATTAGTGGAACACATTGGTTTTGGGACACAGATGCATCCTAGGGTTCGTCCATTAGCCAATGATGCTCTTGCGTGTCCAAGCTTCGAGATCTCCCAGCTCATCACCATGGGAAGCTACTAGCGTGGTTGAGTGTATTGTTGTAGACAAACATGGGTACAAATAATCAAATTCGGAAGTGCTACAAGAATATAGAGATGGATTTCATCACAAAAATATCCAATCACCTCTACTGTTGTAAGCAGTTCAAGTACTACCGGCGCAAAACGAGTATCTGTCGGCTATCCATGTTTATAAATCCATCTGTAGTGCAAGTGACGGACCGTAGTATCCATCTAGGCACCTGATCTGGCCAGTCAGGGCAGGGAGGAAGGTGGTGGTGATGGGTGCATGATAAGGAAGATCATGCGGAGTCCAGTCTGGTTTTTTCTATATCTCATCCGCGTATGCTTCCTTTCATCCAAGTGTATGTACCCATATGGATGTGAAGCATATTGGAACATCTAAATTCTGATGGTTCTTGGTGAAGGGGTCATTCCTGATGCCTCTAAATACTAGTACACCCTAGCTCTCTTGCTATGTGCACCTAGATACACGAGTCCTCTCATATGTTCGCCATAACATGGAAACATTGCTCTTCAACTGGCTTATATTATCTTCTGTTGTGAGAGTTGTGTGTCACACTTTAATTTGTTACCTACTTTTTGATTCTCTATATTTGTTGTTGCACTACATACGAATTTAGTTGTCACAATAATTTATATTTAACTCACTCATACAAAATTTAGGAGTTTACGACGGCCCATGGCCATTAACTTCCTTAAGCAAGTTGCATGATAAGCATCTCTAATTTGGTTTACAATTACACAGCAACATAAAAATGATAGTCAGATCCATTTGTGCATGATATTAGCCAGTTTGATAAACATTTGGGTCATGGGGTAACCATGTTTTATAGTCAACTCCATGTTTTACCCCCTTGTTTGCATTTGTGAGGATTGGCCCATTTAATGAGAATTTATCCCTTCTAACACACTTAGCGGGAATTTTTCCACATTTTACCCCATTCAAGTTGTGGACCATTTCACACCTTAGAACCACATCTCAAGTAGTTGTGGTGTGGCACCTAGCTTACTAAGCCACATTCTGTCGTGGCTAACATGAATGACCATCCATAGTGGCACACAAATGCAAGCCTACATGATCTAACTGTGATCACATGGTGTTGATTGATCAATGGACGATGGGAAGATGTTGAGTGGACGAGTAACTTTGATCACCTGGCTTATGATTTCAAGGTTATGTTCTTGCTCTACCTTCTTTGTTGAAGGACAATGAAGAAGAGTCGGGTTTGGGGATATGGATGATTTGATTTCGAGGACCATTATGTGTTGTTATTTGGTCCTAGACACACGAATGGTGTATGTGTAGGGTTGTTGGTATGCCTAGCTTTTGCTATTTAGTCTATGTGACCCCTAATCGTTCTTGAACTCAAGCGATAATACATGAGGAGGAAAACAAACTGGAAAGAAATTAGCACATAGTTGCACTATCTCTTAGGTTCATCGTCAGCTCTCCACATTTCGACAACGTCCCGAGCCTGTTGTTGTGGATCGAATGATCGTTGGTTCCTATATCTCCCCGACGCTACAACATGGAGGTCCTCGAGCCATGGTTGAGCCTGGTCTCAGCATAAAGTGGATGGTCTCTAACACGGGAACCACACACCTGGGTGCATCTATCGAGGACGTGCGCACTGAGCTGAAGGGATACTCATAGTACCACATTGGTTTATAGCTGGAGCAAGATTTTGTGTGGTGCGCGGATGATGGTGTGGAAGAGGCGGTATACATCGGTCGCCAACAAAGCATAGGAAGGTCATCATGGAGGTTGCTTGGCAAGAGTGCCCCATTTGCTTTAAACTACTCCACGACGGCTTTCATTGTATTGTGGGGGCACTCGTGGCCTATTCGTTGTGGCATGCCATGGCTGCAAACATGTGATCTTGAGCTGTTGTAATGGGTCCAAAACTTATATACCATAAAATATAGATATATTTCAACTAAATGAGTAAATTGGTAGAATTCTCGTAAAATGAGATAATAGCTTTCGGATGGCCAACTAAGAAGTAAAAATTGGAATTCACTCGTTATATTGGATAAACATAGATAATAGATCCCTCACAGTATATAGTCAAAAAAACATAGATAATATATCACGTCTTCTCAGGTATGGGAAACAATACAACTATTCCTCTAGAGAAGCTATAAAAACGTATTTCTGTAAATTTGGCTGTAAAAATATGACCACTATGGAGTTGTGCACAAGATCACAAGATTGATTTTGGCCGGTCAATTACTTAACTTGTAATAGCTATTGTTACTTATTTATGATATTTTGCAATGCTTGCAAATTGCAAAGAAAACGAAAAAAGTATAAGTCACCAATAACATATCACAACTGCTTCTACGTGTACAATGATGGCCTGATCAGATTCATCGTAGACAACAAGAAGAACAAACATACTTGGTAATGCAATTCAAACGTGAAAACCATATATGGCAACAACAAGCACACCGTACAATTAAACACAAGAGAAAATCATATCTCAATCGTAACGTTGAATTTCTTTTGGCTAATAGGAAAAACATTAAAGAAAAACAACAAATGCATCATCATATCAGTGGAATGAATGTTAGAGTTCATCCGTCAGCCGGTGGTGCTTTTGTGTAGCCAAGATCTGAGATCTCCCAACTCGTCGTTGGGGCCACCTCTTGGTGCGACCTAGTGTATTCCTGGACACATGGAGAAGAAAAGGACATGTAAACACATTTGAAAATATTGTGCGGGAATATAAAGATGGATGTCACAACGAAATTATCAAATCACCTCCATCTTTGTCAGCAATTCCGTGGCGGTCGGCGCTGAGACAAGTATGTGTGTACAGTCTGGGTTGATGAAGCCCTCTCGCGCGCCTTTGTCAAATAGGGCAAGCAGGGTATCATAGTAACCATCCACATTCAGCAACCCAACCTATATTGGTATAATTTTGATTAGCGATGGAAAGCTTGACTCTTTTGGGGCAAAAACTGCGGCCAATTTGTCACGCAGTACAAACTATCTGTTACGCTCGGTTGCTTACAGGTTTGTTGTGAATTCCGAGTTGGGACCATGTTATCATCTCCAACAGCTCCTCCATGGTTCCATACCCCCCTTATGAACAGAAAATTGTAAGGAAGCTATACTAACTCATCAGCGCGACGACCGGTCGATGATGGTAGAATGACTAGGAAGATCGTTAAGCGTGTGGCACCTGGAAGAGCGATGAATGCTTCAGATCGTCGAGCCATCTCTGCTTTCCTCTCGTGCATGTCAGACACAACCTTTACTTCCCCCACACTCTCACCTAATATCTGTCAGTACAAATTGAAGTGAAACTTTCAGAGAAACATCAGCTGGATATAATATGTTGTAAGTACAAAATCAGACCTGCGTCGTCGTCATTTCAGTAAGATGAACTTAATTTGAATGTTTTGCCACACACTTCAAATTCAGCTGAGATAACCTCATGTGGCAAGTGAATTTTTCAGGTGCACGGCTAAATTCAGATGACAAAACAAAACAAAAACTTGACCATATTCACATAAATTGTCGTCCTAATATTATTATTGCAGGGAAATTGCAGAACTTGTATGCCTAGAGAAGTAGAGAGGATGGTTTCTTTCATAGTGCAATTTCACTATCTCAGCATGGATGAGAACATGAGAGCAGAGCTTTCCTTACTCTGGTAGGCTAGACTTACACAATGCTACGTGCAGGACAGAGATAAAAAATCTGAAGCATACCTCGACAGGCATGAGAGCCCTGGGAATCACCCTGCCAAGAAATGGAACGAAGAAACATTCAGTGCATGTGTTAAACAGGCAGAGCAGAGCACTCTGCAAGAAGCAGAGGAAGCGTTGTATAGAAAGGGACGTACCCGACGACACGGCGGCCGCCGTCGAGCACCGTCCGCGCGACAAGGCCCATGAGCCCGATGCTGCCGCCGCCGTAGACCAGGTCGACGCCCCTCGTCACCTGCACCAGTGGCATGAGCAACCCCATGCGTGAGCTCAAGAGCTTAACTTGACAAGAGGACGCACGGTGTCAAAGCCGAGTCAGTCCGATCCGCCTACCAGCTCGCGGCCAAGGTCGAGGGCCGCATCGCCGAACACCCTGCGTTTGCCGGCGCTGCTGCCGCAGAAGACGCACACCGTGCGGAACCTGCACGACGCCCTGTCCCCCATCGCCGGCCGGCCGTGCCCGCCTCCAACCGGCCTCGGCTTGCGGCGGCGGCGTCGCCGTCGTCGTGTCTGGCCTGGCTGCGCGCTTGCGCTTGCTGCGTTATTATGGTGGCGTGGCGGTAGCTGCACAGGGCAGTGACGCTGGCTGATGATCGCCTCCATTTAACTCCACCGTCGCTGTCACTTTGGCGCGCGGTGACCACGCCACGCCGTGACAACTGACACCAATCACCGTGGCCCCGTGTCCCCGTCTTCTGACGAAAGCCTGTAAACTCTGAATCGTCCCCGTCCCCGCCGTCCTCGAGAATCCTGCCTGTCCCGTCACACTGCCCGCTGCCCCGCCTCAGGATAACGGCATGGGCCGCACTGTTCTGGCCGGTGCCGCTGCCGCTGCCACCTCGCATGGACCATCATCCCTTTCTGTCGCCGGCACTACAGTGCACCATGCAAATCTGGATCATCGAATCGTGCATGCCTCCATTGTGGCACGAGGAGCATGCATGGGCTGCGCATTTCACCACTGAAAATTACGTACTGCTATCAGTGTCCGGCACCGGCAGTAACAGCTGGTACTGTACTAGCACACTTTTGGTTCCGGGTCCCGATCGAGCAGGTGAAAGCTTAGCACTCGCGATCGAAGATCATTAAAATTTAACAAGATCGTTAGTCAAACGTGGCCGAACGGACAGGTCAAGGGGCAGGGCGATCGGTACGTGCCAACGGCAAAGCAAAACGCAGGCACGCACAGAATGGAATGGATGTTTATTTTACCCGGACGGCGCTGGATTCTGATCTGATGAGGCCATCGTATATGGGACGGCCAATCCGAGTGACCCGGCAATTGTTTGTGCGACTGGAGTCACTGGACGATCCTCCGAGGCGCGTTACGGGATCTTCGGGAACACGACATGCACGCCGTCGTTTGGTTCTCGCAACGATTTAAAATGGTCAGTTAAGCTTGCACCGTTCTCATTGTCCCCCATATTTGTCAAGTTTCACCGTTTGTGACCAAGCTCAAGCGACTGTCTCCATCCCCACTTCAGAACCATTCTAACTTTTCGGTGTACTACTACAAGCAGGTAGTTTTTTTTTTCCTTTTTCTTTTCAAAAAAAAGCTCCCTCTCTGATTTTCATTAAGAGAAATCACAATGTCTTCCTACAAACTTCAAAGAGAAATTAGCGAAAATTTCACAAAAGCCCCGAGAAGTAAGGACCACCACGAGAAGAGGGAGCCATCCCTCCCCCCACCCCCTCCCGGCAAATCTTTGGACAGACCTAACCTCCAACGCAGGCGTCGGAGGCAACCCGGAAAGCTACCTTACCAGCAACACAGAAACAAAAAACAATCCAAAGTACATGGTCTTACATCAACGAGATAATCTCGAAGACAAACATGAACAAACAAGCGAACAAAGCAGCAAAGTAATGAGATCATGTTCTTTTAGCAGCACCTGTTCGAGAGAAGGAAGAACCTCAATTCTCGCAACCCCATTCTCCATCCGTGCACCGCCCTGAAAATCTCCTTCGCAACCTATTCAACTTGTCTTATGCCCGCGGCCGTTCGCTTTATTCTTTCTTGGTTTTTTTGCAAAATATTCCATTCATGTAACCATTTTAAGATCATGTTAACTGAGACACAGGGATCAGTCACCCTGTTATTATCAAATACTACTATGTTTCTAAGTTTTCACGGAGTCCAAAATATAGCAGAAATCCCAACCGCCATCAAATCTCTATCATTCCTGTTATTTTTTTTAATCCAAAGGCCAAACAATTGCTGGACACTATCAGGAATATCATGTATGTTAAAAGGGCATTTCATAACCATCCATAGCATCCTAGCAATGGAACAATGAAAATAAATGGTTAATATTTTCTTCTCTCCCATAGAAAGAGCATTTGTTATCCCCAATCCATCCCCTCTGGATCAAATTATCCTTAATGAGGATGCTCCCCCCTCAAGGTTAACCACATGAAGACTTTAACATGTGGAGGCATTTTGACTTTCAATAAGAACTTATGTGGATACCTATCCCCTGTTTGTATCATGAATCTGTAACAAGATTTCACAGTATATTTTCCATTACTAGTCAAAGGCCATTTCACCACATCTTTTTGATCACTGAGGATCACCGCCCCACGGGCTTGTTTAATGTGATCCGACAACTCCAAGGACTCACCATGCAATGTTCTTCTAAACCTAACATCATGCAAACCCTTCCCTAAAATATCCGTCACCTATTTGTTCTTACCAAAACATATAATATATAGTCTAGGGAAGCTATCTTTCAAAGATTTTGGTCCTATCCATCAGTCTTCCAAATATCTAACATTTCTCCCATTACCCACAATAAATTTGCGTAAAGAGATAAACAATTCTTTATGTTTCAACAGTTTAGACAAAACTACGAATCTCCCACTTTATGTTTTATACTAGTAATACAACTATTTTTCCTATATTTATTCAGAAGCAGACTCTGCCGGAGCCCTTCCTTTGTTGTAGATTTTCCACCACCATTTGCAAAGCAAGGCTTTGTTCATCAAAGCTAAATTCTGGATCCCCAAACCACCCATGTCTTTAGGTTTACACACTTCACACAATTTAACCAAATGTTTTTTTTCTTATCAATATTTTCCCGCCATAACAATCTAGCCCTAAAGAAGTCCATTCTTTTGTTACCCCAATAGGTAATCCATAGACGAACGTCATGAAATGGAAAACTAGTTAGTCAAGATTAAATCAGGGTGATCCTAGCAACACTGGCCATCAACCTCCCCTGCCATGTGCCACACTTCTTTTCCATCTTTTCTTCTGGAGGCTTTCAGTGTATATTTCTAATTCTTTTTTTATCTACGGGGAGACCTAAATATTTCAAAGGAAGGTCTCCCACTAGGCATGTAAAAATTCTGGAATAATCATATTTTTTATCAAAAGCTTGACCAAGCAGGAACAATTCACTTTCATGAAAATTAATCTTCAATCCACACATCTGTGCAAACAGACATAAAATATATTTCAGATTATCTACACTGTCAAAATCATCTTGCAAAAGAAAGATGGTGTCATCTGCATATTGGAGCATGTTGACACCACCTTCCAAGTTTTCTGTCATCAAACATTTAATCAATCCATTTTTCCTAGCATTATGCATCAACATTGCCAAAGCATCTGCTGCAAAATAAAGATTAAAGGAGATAAAGAGTCCCCTTGTCTTAAGCCTTTGTGAGTAGGAAAGTATGGCCCCAAATTATCATTAACCTTGATGCACACATTCCCCCCTCTAATGGTCCCCATGATCCAATCAATCCATTTATCAAGAAATCCGTTCATTTTTAGCATTTGAAAGACAAAAAGGTCATTTAACCTTGTCATATGATTTCTCAAAATCATAGCAAATCATCTTGTTTTTCGGTACGAAGACTATTCGAAGTTTCATGTAGGATGAGGCCCCCCTCCATAATATATTTGCCCTTGATGAAGGCAGTTTGGATTGGGGAAATAAGCTCTACAACAACCCCATTTGACCTATTCATCAATACTTTGATAAAGAAAACTAACATTCAAAAGACATATAGGTCTATATTTTTGTATCTGGTCAGCATCATTATTTTTAGGAAATAAAGTGATAATCCCATAATTTAATCTTCTTATATCTAACTTTCCCTTTATGAAAATCATCAAACATAGCTTTCAAATGATGTTTAACTAAGTCCCAAAAGGGTTGATAGAACTAAGTCCCAAAAGGGTTGATAGAACTCAGCTGTGAACCCATCAGGCCGAGGGGATTTGTTATGAGCCCTTTGAAGCACTGCACTTTTAATTTTTTTTCCTGAGGAGAATTCATCCACTAGTTTATCTCTAGCAGAATTAGGAACGGTAGCAGGGTTATCAATGTTTAAAGAGACATGAGAAACTTCAGGATGACCAAACAAGTTTTTATAAAAACTAGTAATGTAATCCAATAAGTTTTTATTCCCTTCTATCTTCCCTCATCCTGGTCCAAGCTATTGATTTTATTCATCCTATGCTTGCAATTGGCTTTTGCATGGAAGTATCTAGTATTACCATCCCCTTCCAAAATCTCATCATTTTTTTCTCTCTATTTCCACTTTGCCTCCTCCCAACTTAAAAGCCTATCAAGTTGGGCTTTGAGTTCCATCTGTTCAACCTTATTTGCAACAGATAACCCATGAACTTCACAGTGTTTTTCCAGTCCGTCAAGTTTCATAGAATATATTTTTAACTCTCTAAGGCAAGCATTCATATGTTTCTATTCCACCCCTTCAGTTTGGACCTAAGCATTCTTAATTTCTTTTTTCCATTTATCAATATTAGGACCACTGATGCCTGGACAAATCCATACCTCAGTCATAATCCTACCAGGCCCATCTCTAAAAAACTAAGAATTTTCAAATCTAAAGATTGGATAAGTCTTAAGAAACCACATCTCAAGTGTCAAGAAGTAAGGGGACATGATTAGATTTTTCTCTGACTAGAGCAGAATCCTCTGTCAAAGGGTCATTTTCCTCCCATTCCACACTACACAAAACTCTATCTAGCTTCTCAAAGGTAGGTTGAGGCAACTTATTGCCCCAAGTAAACTTTCTACCATGCATCTCAAGCTCTCTCACCCCAGCTAGTTTAATGATGGCATTGAAAAGAAAACTCGAGTGCCCAGTGTTAGGTTTGTTCTTGTGAGATGCTTTTCTGATAATGTTAAAATCCCGTCCTATCAGGATGGGATTAGCACCATCTTGGAAACCCCTAGATAACGCATCTAAAACTTTAGCTTTGCCAGCAGGCTGGGCATCCCCATAAACCACCACTGAATCCCACATAAATTTGTTTTTCATATCTTGCACATTCATTTTCATGAAGTAATCCCCCACATCTTATGAGATAAGATCTAAAGTAGTGTAATTGACACCCATGAGCAATCAACTAGATTTCCCCCTAGCAGGGACATGATGCTAGTGAAAATCCCTCCCAGCAAATATTCCTTGTAGATTATTTCTAGAAATTTTATGTCTCAGTTTCCTGCAACTTTCACATCCATCACCATTTCCCTAAGAAATATTTTCTTCACATCACCCCCAAAACCCTCATGTTCCAAAACCCCCATCTTATTTCCTTTTTTATTATCAACAGAATGTTCAAGTTTTTTCATGCCTAAAATAGATTTCCTCCCAGAATGTCTAGAGGATCTATTTTTATTTCTATATTTATTATAAGAGAACATTTCTCTAAAAAGTTCTCATTCTTTTTTTCCTCATCCATATCACTATCATCGCCCACATCTACAATTTCCTCTATATTGTATTCTCCTATTTCAATAACAAGAGTCACTTTTTGAACAGAAACTTTGTCTCCATTTTTTCCATTATTTTTATTATTATTGGTCACCCATAAATCCACTCTAGCTTTTCCATTGTTTTATAAGGCTGATATTATAATAAACCATATCTATTTTAGCCCCCAAATTAACACCCACATTCACAGCTACATCATGTAAATATTCATGAGAGGAGGACGATAGAGTAGGAATTTTATCCTCACCATAATTTTCCTTCTCAGCCGCTCTTTTCTTGGCCAACTCTTCAATATTGCACTCCTCTTTATCTTTACATCTCTCACTCCTCCTCAACATCTCCAAACTTTTAACATCAAGTTCCCCTCTCTTAGTTTTCTTAATCAAGGTTTCAAAAGAGACATGTTCCTACCTAGCAGTGCAATCCACCTGTTCCAAGTATCCATCCCCTTCCTCCATGCCACCAAGCTCCTCCATGTGTTTGTCATTGTTATTATCCTCACTCTTTTTCGTCAACATAAACTTGATCATTATCATTTGCTTTATTAGCAGTTTGAGAACCACCCACCTCATCAAACATACTCATGTTCTGTTGCTGCAGTTCATGTTGTCTTTCGATTTCTCTTTCTAGCCCCATCTTTATAATCTCAATTTTTATTCTTCTTTTCTCTTCAACTGTCAGCTAAGCTGACTGCATAGCAACCATCTCTTCAACCAGCTGTAAGTCGACTAGTAAAGCCTCATCCCCCTCGGTGACACTAGTATTGTCTTGATTCTTAATGGAACTACAATCCCCATTAGTCATCTTCTTTTGAATATAAATATTAACCACATTTTCATATTGTTTCAAAGATGAACTTCCCAAGGTCACATTAGTCCTAGATCGGTCAATAATATTACTTTTTTGCTCATATCATTCTCTTTTGGACCCACAACATCCTCTAGACTGGTGAATTCAAACACCTTTCTCTTATTACCCACTTCAAACTTATATCATCCTTATTGAGCCACAGATTCTAGCTCAAACCCACTATCATACAACAACAAATCTTTGCTAGTGATTTATGTTCCTGGGGATTTTATGAAGATCTCTAACTCCCACTTTCGATCTTATATCTTTCTTTGTATGTATATTTTTCACATCTACTTCCACCACTAGCCCCAGCGCAGACCCAATCACACAAATTCCTAGGTAATGTCTCAGAGAGTCAGGAACACCATGCATCTGTATCCATATGGAGTGCAGCTTCCCGCTGGCTTTGTCAGCGGGACTCTAAAGAATCACCTCAACAGTAGCACTAGTTCCCAGCAAAGTGCGTTTCTCAACAACAAAAATCCATCAGCTTGGCCTTATTGGGAACCCACACCAGAAAGGACTTGGCTCTTTGAAACTTGGCTGACCAAGTCCACCCCCAATCAAACATCCTACTCAAGCATTGCACCAAAGTAGTCTCGTTCAATTGAGCACAGTGTACAACCACAATTGTCATTGGGTTAGCATGTTCCACAACTAAGATGTCCTTAGTATTCTGAACCAACAAGCATCCCAATCCTCTTACCCCATATACCACATACTTAGAAACTGGCTTGGGTTATCTCAAGATGGTACAATCTTCATTTCTATGTGAGCCTCTCCGACACACCACACAAAAGACATTATTCCTGCAATCTTTGTGCCATGTCCATTCCCCTTACACCTCCCACAAGTTTGTTCCTTTCCTCCCCCTCCATCACCCTTGGATCCACTTCCTCTATCACTTTCTTATTTCTCCTCACATGGTACCGATAGGACACTGTTTTGGGGGACGTTGGCCAACAAATATTGATATTGTTGTGCCAATTACTCAGGTGGCAAAAAACCAAACTGCCCCATCCCCAGCCCCAGAGGCACCATCTATGGGAAATTCTAAAAGAAGCAGGGAGAGTCCCCTTCCCATGCGTCTGGCTATGCAAAACTCCTTGTTGTTGTTGCCTTCCATCACCCCCTTGTCTTACAAACCCAATCCCAGATCTATCATCCCTAAGTTGTTAATATCCACTCTTTCCACCTTGTCCAACAAAATTTCCAGATCCAGACGTTCATCTCCCATTCCGCACAAAACCTCCTCCAAATCTCCCCTGTTGAAACCCTTCTCCCCCGCTATTGCTGCTCCCAGCTCCATCGCGAGGCTTTCACCCCCTTCTCTGTGATCCCCATGCTCGTAACTCTTGTCCTCCTGCCTCCTGAAATTCCTCCCCGATGAGATATTGATTCTACTAGAGGGGAAGTTGGACCTTCCCCCAAATCCACCCCTCCTTGGCCTCAGCTGCAATTGCCCTTGCCTCCCTGCCATGGTTGCTGCTCCCCTTTCTGGCTCCCTTTCCTCACCTAGGTTAGCCGCCATAACCCTAACCTCTCCGTGACAAAAAGAATCGGGAAAATCGAAATGCTCTAAGGCAGGGATGTGAATGGGTTTTTTATATATCCCACCCTCCTCACCCACACATGGGCCAGCCACATCATGGGCTTCATCCACCTCATGTGCCAGTTGTTGAAGCCTAGAAACCAGAACTGCATTTTCATCAAGCCCAGCCCAATCAAACTTTTCAAAATCAATCCCCACCTCCCACTCACACTCAGTAACCATTGTGTCCTAAAAAAATTCTTCCAAAGATAAATTCCTAGGAATATCGATTTCATCATGGCATGTTTTTATCAATCCTACTCCTAACATCTTTACCACAATCACTCATCTTATCAATGACAAAATTATCATCCCCCCTCAATTCCATCTATCAGACTTGGGAGTCTACATAAATCTTTGAATCTGGGCATGAAGGGTTTCATATTAATTAAGGCCAAATCAACCTCAGCCATGTGATAGTTTCCCCAATTGAGGGAATGGACATGTGGATACATCTGATCCACAATCTCCCCTGACCGACCACATTTCTGCTTACATGTTTTTCTATCGTCCCCATCACCCTTAAGAAACAAGCTTTGAATATATTTATCCATTCTCAATTTGTTCCTACGATTAACCTGATGATCAATGCGACGTTTTTCTTAATCTCTCTACTTGTGAATCTCCCACTAGATAGTGCATCATATTGCAAATAATCAGCACGGGGAGATCAGAAAGCATACCACTACTAGACTCCTCACCGGAATCGTTCTTTGATTCCTCGCCGCCTAACAACTAGATGCGGTTATTAGCCAGCTTGGGAATCGGATCCCCTTTTCGGCAAGGTGTGTGGAGCGACGGACCTCCAGACCTAGGGCTGGAGCCAGGCGAGCCTAGCGGCGTCGCAGAGTTGTTGAGCCCCCCTGATACATGTTCACGCACTTGAGTCCCCCTTCTTCTGCTCCCTTCACCCTCGTCAATCACAATCGGGGCCATAGCCGATCCCGGCGCCGGAAGAGCCAGGACCGCCTTGCCCGCCCTCATAGCAGAAGCCCTCATCGTCGGGGCTAGCGGCGTGGTGGAGAACGAAACGAACACCTCCCACTTGCCTGCCCTCGCCGGATCCATCGAATCCGCAGATCCATTGCCCACAACGGATCTCCAATGAATGGCGCTTGCACCTCCTCCTGAATAGTTCCCCTTCTTCTTCCTTCGACAACAATTCCACCACCGCATGTGCCACTGCCCGCATCTCCGCCTTGGTGTCGAACCAGGAGCCAATCTCGAGCAAGCGAGCACGCTTGCGTGCATCCCACCCCCACGAACTCCCTCATCCTGTCTACTGTGATTACACCATCGCCAACGAGGGTTTCGACAGGACGAAGCTCTCTGTGGTCTAGATTGGGGAGGAAGGGGAAGAGTGAATGTGACCCACTACCTCCAGCACCCCATGACGGCTTTAAACCTCTCTCTCCCTGCCTGCCATTCGTACCGATCGAGATGTACTGTGCCGTATGGCCAGACGCCTCACCAATTCTCGCAACGTGACAAGGAAAATGTACCATGTCGCACGGTGCAACATCCTCCCCCGACACGTGCGCCGGCCCACCACGTAGCCACCCTCGTCGACGAGGGAGACCATGTGAGCCCGAAGAACCACCACACCCCACCGGTAGACGAGCACCCCCGCCACCCTGAAGTCTGGCAAGTACCATGCCGACCACCACAAATCGCGAGACGCACCACCTAGCGCGTTGCACGAACCGCTATGTTACATCCCCTGCCTTTGTCGTGGAAGCTATGGCCCTATAGGTTCGTTGTATCTCTTTCCCAGGCGGGGAAGGACCGGCCGGCTGCCGACCGACGCCTCACTCTTCCAAGAGATTCGATCTCATGCATCCGAGAGAGAAGAAGATGGATCCTGCCACACAGCAGTTAGCTAGAGCCTAGAGGGACAAACAGAGGTTCAACCTTTGACATAGGTACAAAGTACAAAACGGAATTAGATCAGGACAATCACAAAGACTTGGGGAACCTTTTCCATTCTGACCAATGTCACCTAGAATATTATTATTATTGATGCAATGAGGCGTTGAACTTGAACTGGGTATGTGTGTGTGCACATAACGCTACAGCAGAAGCAGAATGAAGAAAATTTATATATGAGGTGCAAACTAGTTTGTCCATGTGAGCAGATAACTGGGATTAATAATTGTAGTTCTCCTTGTCCAAGCTTCGGGTCATGCTCTGCCCTTTCAGAGACAAGCTGTTCAACCTCCTTGCGGCGGCCGAGACATCCGAGCCGGCGTTGCTCTCCGAGTCCAACGAGGAGAGCGCCACCCTTCTGCTGTAATACGGCACGCCCCCAGACCGTTGCCTCTGCAGCTGGAACGGCCCTCTCCGACTGCCGCCGACGTACTCCAGCCTTGCCTTGGCAGCCTTGGTCAAGCTCATGTAGCCCGGCCCTGCACCACTGTCAGACCTTGCCTCCGACGCCAAGGTGTTGGTAGAGTATCCCGGGGTCACCGAAGATGTCGACGGAGAGCTCTCGTCGCACCCAAAGTCCGAGGAGGAAGCCGAGAGTGCCGGAGGAGGCATTGCTTCAACCCTGGTCGAGTCGTTGTTTCTTCTGATCTTGATGGAGCCAGCACATGAATATTTGGAATCTTCAAAGTTCATCTTCTCCTTGTAGCTATGCAGACGACGCGACTCGCCGAGGTTTGACTCCATATGCGTGCTCTCCCAGGGTTTTGTTGCCATCCATCCTTCTATATAAGACTCGTGGTTCCTGAGAGAGCTTGCAGGGGAGCTTGACCTTCCACTGTATCTAGAACTCCGACCCTGAAAGAATTATGTGCAAAAATAATTAATTAAATAAATAAAAGAAGTGAAGAAATAAAGATCAGTCTCAAATGTAAGGTGAAAATTCTCATTGGTTCAGCATATACCTGGTGAGAATGAGCATAAGCAATTGCCCTTTGTCTCTTCACTGCGCCCTCATGTTTCATGTGCATTATTGATTTTACTTGGTTGACAGAACCTTGCCTGTCACACCATCGTTCCTGCAGTGCTAAGAATGTCAGCTAATCTGTCACAAACAAGTTTGACGCCACATTTCCTAATCAACTTACATAATTCCTCCAGTGGTTACTTGGTTATACTAATTAATTCACATAAATGTCAACATGTCCTCTGAGCTCCATTGTGTGTAAGTTGTGTTCTGAACTTAAAACATGGTGGGCAATCACTAACTGCGCAAGGCCTCATTGGTGTATACGTATTGCTTTTCTCACCTAACATCGTCACTACAAAGATCGATTCAAACAAGCATGGTACATGTGAAAGCACAAATAACAATCTTATAATCGACTCAATCATCACCCGAAAAAAAAGAAGTTTAACTGTCAATGTCAATCTTAGTCATACTGGCAGAAGTCCTTTTCAGATAAAAGTAGCCATATTCACACATCATTTTCTTTCTAAGAACGGGTGCAATCCTCTCAAATTTTACATGACCCGTTCTGGAAAAAAGATAGACGAGTTGAAAATATAAGAACCAAGTATACTTCATTCAAAACTCTTCCACTAATTAAACTGCCTTTTGTGAACACATAGTGTAGTCAAGCATTCAGATGGTGATTTCCATCTACAGAATTATCTCTGAATTCACATCCTGGAAGTGAAACGATCTCCAAATCTCATGGTTTGCACAAGTAATTATTTACCAACTGGATTCAAATATGTGAGCATGGCAATCTTTCTTACTTCGTAACTTGGATCCAGATCTAATTAAAATCAGTAATGGAGTTCTTTTAGAGAAACAGTATATTTGTGTTGTAATTTGAAAACCTGTAAAAGTGTGTTTTTGTGTGTGTGTTTTTTCAGAAATGGAAGCGAGCGGACTCAACAACATAACCATGGGCGAGTGTTAAAATCAGAAAGTGGAGGCCCATACTAAGTTACAGGAAGGCCCAGCTGAGCCCCAATCTCGAATTCTACATCAAGAAATAGAGTGATTCTATCAAATTTCTACATTCTCAACAACATAGCCCATGGGCCAGTGTTAAACTAAGAAACTGGAGGCCCATATTATGTTACAGTAAGGCAGAGTTCAGCCTCGATCACTAATTCTCCATCAATCCTCAAAAAAAAAAAAAAAAACTAATTCTCCATCAAATTCTTGCCACAGCGATTCTATCAAATTTGCAGGAACAAGAAGTACAGTTACGGTCTCAACATTACGGACTGCTGCACAAGTCATGGATCGAAGCAAGCATTGCAAATGCACATACAATCCAAACATAGGTACGCACCTCGGTTTCCCTGAGAGGGTCGGCGCGGCCGTTGCGGTCGCCGGGCGCGTCCTGTGACTGCGCGTCGGCAGAGCAGCGCGCCCGGCGCTCCATGGCGCGCTCCTGCACCCTCAGCAGCGCCTCCATGCGGCTGAGCGTGACGGCGAGCTGCCTCCGCACCAGCCGGCCGCGCACCAGCGCCTGCAGCCGCACGATCCCCCGCAGCGCCTTCAACGCCCGCCTCGCCTGATCAACCGCGCGACAGATCATCAGTTCATCAATACCAGTATCGCATCAGATCCGAATACGTAGTAGCACGAAACCATGGAGGAATCTGCGCGTTGGTTACCACTTACCAGGAGGGCACGGAAGGCGGCCTGGATGCGGATGGCGGCCCACTCCTGCCTGATCACGCGGAAGTCCCGGGGCGGCGCGCGCGCCACGGCGGCCACGACGGAGCCGATCCCGCTGGCGGACGACGTGGTCGAGGACGCCTCGCAGCCCCCGGCGCCGTCCCTGGACGCGGACGAGGACCCGCTCCGCCACAGCCGGCTCCACTTCCGGCCCTTCCCCGGCGCCGCGGACGCCGACGGCGCCTTGAGGCCCACCAGCGACTTGATCCACTTCCCCATCGACGCCCTCACGCTCTCGTCAGTCGTTACACGTCCGGGCTGGAGCTCCTGCTTGGCTGGCTCTGCGGGTGCGGGGAGAGTGACGACCGACGAAGAATGAGGCCGGCCGATCGAGACGAGACAAAACGGAAGCACAAGTAGTGGGGGAGGTAGCCGTTGTCTTTTTCTCCGGGGGGGTTGGAGTCCGTTTCCGCTCCGCGCGTGGGCATTCAATTCGAATTTCGAACGGCGACAAGGAAAGCCGGCCCCGAGGGCGAGCACGCCGGGTCGCTGGGCGCGGGCCCGGCGCTCAAGGTGGGGCCCACGTGTTTGCTGGTTCAGGTGGGAGGAGGCACGGCGGAGCTCCCGTGGCGCATAGGTTTCCGGGAAAGAAGGGCCGTCTGGAACGTGGCTTTCTCGTGGGACGGGCCCCGGACGCTGACCCGCCGGGTCCACGGCGAACGTGGGCGCACATGTCAGTAACGGACGGCCTGGGGAGGTGGAGACGATCAGCTCGCGCTCGACGATCGACGGTTGACGCCGCCGGCACGGCACGGCGTCGAGGGGCCGTGGGCAGAACGGACCTTGGTGCGCTTTCACGATTCGCTTCTCGCAAGGGAAAACCACTAGTATTTTTTTTTAGCATCAGTACAGACACAAGCGCTCATATACACGCGCATACACTCACCCCTATGAACGTACATAGACACACCCTATCCCTACGAGCACCTTCGAGAGACTGAGCCGACATATCATCTTGAGATTTACAAAGCCACCGTAGGCGCCTCGTCGTCGACGGGAATGTCTCCTCTCACTGAAAGCACATCGCCGGAAATCCTGAAATAAATCCAGGAATAATGCAAGCACCAGGATTTGAACCCTGATGGGTTGAGGATACCCCTGTCCACCTAACCAACTCAACACAGGTTGGTTCGCAAAAAATCACTAGTACTTCCTCCGGTCTTTTCTAGTCTCGCTAGCAAACGTGTTGGTGTGTTGCAATATGAGAAAAACATATCACAAACCAATGAGCATGGCTGGAGACCCCCTCTTCCAACACATACATTCCACGTCATCTATTTCAACACGATGCCCACTTGCCGCTTAGAGAATCTTTAATAGTTTGTATGTTAGCTTGTTGGTAAAATATATCATGTCATCAACCAACACCTTAACATACAACAACTTCAATGGGTTGTATTATCTAGTTTACCCAATAGGATGTGAGCTAATAAATAAGGTGTTCTTTCATTCTACATTGGAGCTTGTGCAAGGGGTGTTGGTTCATGTACATACAACCTTCCTCTCTTTCCTTATTTATTGTATGACACATCATCAAAAATCCTATGTGGCAAAGTCTACCAACAACTATCTTACAACCATTGGAGATGCCCTTATCCGTCTTTCGGTCCTCGCCGGCGATGAGCACATTATCCATCTAATCACAGTGAATCCAAATATGGTCAATCCCAAGGTGATGAGTTTAATTTGACGCGAGGCGGCTACGAACATCGACGTCCTCCTAGGCGCGACTTCCATCGGAACTGACGCTCTGTGCATAACCGTGGTAACACCATCCGGTGTGTGCGACATTGTTTGTTCGATGACTATTATGAAAATCATAAACTTCAAAGCGCATCTCATCTACAGTTTAACAAATCCATCTAGCAGTTTTCAAAATTTCTACAAAATGTAACCCGTAAGGTCATACTTTTGTCAAATTCACATACTATGGTGAAAATGGTACCGGTTCTGCATTTTGTAAAAAGATCAACCGCTTTTTGCGAATTCACACAAACTACTATCAAAATGGTAACTTTTTAACCTATATCCGTATGGTTATTTACTGGAGAGCATTTTGAACATAATAAATTCATAAGTTCCAAGCATCCGCGGCATGAAACTAAAATTGGTTGTGCGATAGTCCTTGGTCCGCCCAGTTTGCCACACTCTTGCCCGTCAGCAAGAAGTGAGGTAGCCGAGGATGGTGCGTAGGGGTGGGGCAAAGTGGGGGCAGCACTGGTTAACACCAAACTTTCTCATATCTAATGTTGTAGGAAGCAATCTGCTGGATCACGTTCTTATGACTGAAGTTTGGTGTTGCCACTACTGGAAACAGAGAATTTACCATCAGTCAGCTCTTTGTCGTCTGCTAGCAGACGACAAAGAAGGCCTTTGTCATCTGCGTATGAAAAACGGACGGCGAAGAGCCTAGTTGCCAACGGCCAATTCTTTGTCGTCCGCCAGCTGACGGCAAAGAATCGCTAGCAGACGGCAAAAAGGTGGGTGGGGTCCAATGGAGGCCTAAAACCTAATGGCCCACCAGCCCCACCTCATTGTCTTCCGCCAGTAGACGGCAAAGAATCTTTGTCGTCCGCTGGCAGACGACAAATCAAACGCTGCCTAACAGCCCGCACCCCCACCTCACTCTCTCTGCCACTCCACCTCGCCCCGACCCCAACCGCCGCCACCGTTAACGCCCCCGACCCCCACCGCCCTCGCCGCCCCGCCCCACCCTCGGCCTCGCCGCCCGCCGCTCCGCCGCCCTACTCCGGTGAGCC